AAAATGAATTAGATTTATTTTCCTGAAAATTGATCAAAGAAAAGATTGGAGTACGAATTATTTGATAAACTAAAGCAATGTAAACCGGCTTAAGGTAGATCAGTATAAAAATTTCAATACCCTCTAATATTGCTGATCAAAAACTTTTTCGATAGACTAATTTTGTCAAACAATAATTTCTGTTAAAAGTAGCGGAAATAGTGAAGCTTGAGTGACGTGGCCAACAGATTTTCATACTTTCACTTAGTTATATTTTTTCTCTCATTCAATCCTTTCTGACACCAGGATATGAACCCGTAATCTTACATTGCGTAGCTATAACTTTTATCGAACTCAGGAGGCTTTGAAACGTATAGATTCGTCGAAAACCGCATACTAGAAATTTTACTCGATCGCAATACTTTCCTTACCTAGTGTAGGTAAGAAAGTAAAAATAAATAAACAATAACTAATGATTTACTGTTAAAACTGGTGTGAGAATTAATAGGTGTAGACTAGTGGATGGGAAGTTAGGGGATGGCTGATGTTACATAACTAGTCAGACTGGGAAAACGTTTTATTTTTATGTTGGGGTTGTACAAACTAAGAAATCCAACCAATGCACTAACATATATATATATATATATATATATATATATATATATATATATATATATATATAGATTGAATAAGAAATCAAAACTATTTTTCAGTCTTTAACATTATTCATTTATAGCTAGAAAAGTTATTGAAGCTGTCTTCCTTCCCTCACGTTTAATGTATAAACATATGTAATATATTTAATTATTTAGATTTTTATATTATATTATATACATAAAAGGCCTCTGGCCACAGATGCAAACAACGCATACAGCGTGCATAGCTCTCTTACCTTAAAATGCCCTTGGGCAATAAAAGGAAATTGAAAATATATGTATATATACATTTTTATATATATATATATATATATATATATATATATATATTGTATTTTGTAATCAAGAAATTCCTGGGGGATAGGAAAAAAAAATATTATATTATATACATGAAGTGAATTCCTGCCATTATTTTTTCGTTCCTGACCCCCTTAATCAAAATGAAAATTCGTCGCTTATTATTATCTTCCAGAAAAAAATTTAGGATTATACAATGTCAGTGATCCAAAAATTATATTAGTTGATTATGATTTGGAATTATTATTATATTATTAAAAATGGAGGAGGATGAGCGACAGTATAGACCAACTAGACAACAGGCCGTAGGAACGACAGTTGGAGGGCCAATTGAACTCTTAAGGGCTCTTTGTCTCAAGAGTGTCTGTGGCAGTCGAGGCTTCCATTAATTCCAGACTGTCAAGAAAATGCACTTTTTGCATTTCAGGAGTGAAATTGAGGGAGAACAATTCTGATGATACAATGAGAAGGGAATGGGTCGATCGAAAGATGGATTTAAGATGTCTTTTTTATAATAAATAATAATAATTTCCAAAAGTAGGAAAAATATGTGATTAGGACTATAATATTTATTATATACAGGTATGTGGTGCCCAAAGCGGACTTCTTGGTAAGTGAGGAAAACATTTTCAACCAAAAATGTAGTTAAGCGTCATCTTCATTCTATCATACCGTTGTCGAGATATGATATTTTAAAGAATTTTCTAACCAATTTCTATAATATAAATTATATATAATACGGTAGTATAAAATCTTTTCCAGGCTCTGGGAGGCTCAGGAACAAGCGAATTTGGAATACTTATTAAATTTTAAAAATTAAAAAAATGCTATTTATTTAGTCTTCTAGGAACTAAAAATCAACAGAATAAAAAAGAAATCATATCAACTAATGGCACCCAACCCACTGCTTTTTTTCTTCTGTCCTGATGATGCCTGAATTAGCGAAACGTAGGCGGATTTTTTATTCTTTGTCTGTAGTTTATTTTATATATATTATATTCCCGTCACATATTTCCTTCTGAAACCCGTAGGCTCATAGTCACTTCCTGAATTTTTCCCCACTTTGACTATTGCTGAACGGTATATGGGGACGTCTCTGGAGATCTCGAGGCGAAACTAAAACGTTTGATAAATTGCTTTGTACGATTAATCTTCGGGATCCCAAGGGACACCTCTGTTTCCCATTTTTATGCAGAGTTGAAGTGGCTTTATCCTTCCTAGCGTCGTAAGTTTTACCTGGCATCCTTTCTCTTCTAAATTATCCAATTGCGCCGTCCTCCATACATCTTCGAGCTCCTTCAATTCAAATCCTCTGTTAATTCCCGCAATACTCGTTCCCGGTCTTCTGATTTATACACAAGGGCCCACCGAATACAAAGGGACAGATCGTTCATTATCCGATTCTCATCCCTATGGAACATATCCTTTAATTCAATACCCTTCCTACCTTTAAATCCCGCCTGTTCAATAATTTCTTATCCATCCAGTCCCCATAAAATTGTAAATAGATACTACTGCAAATATATATATAAATTAATAGTTCGATCTTCATTATTTTCACTACATATTTTTTTTTCATTTTTATTATTAACTGATTGAAATTAGAAAGTAACACTATGACTATTTAATTACTCTGTATTTTTGTTTACATATCTCTGGGGCTCCTTAGCCCACATTTCTGCCTTATTGTATTATTCTAAAGGGACTCGTCCCAGAATAAATAAAGTATTATTATTATTATTTTGGAAACATAAGGCTGTTTGGTTGAAATTTTTTCCAATTATAACCTAAGATTGATTTTTTGGTCTCTTGGTGATTTTTTTTAATGATTTACATTAATATAGAATGAAACTTTACTCAAATCATACGATTGAATTTTTTGTGTCTCTTTAAGTAAATTATAGCGACATAATGGAAGGCCTCTATAGAAAATATTGTAGATATGCATTGTATTATAACTAAGTCTCCCCCCCCCTCCTACCACAGTGTCTATACCTATAACTATTATAAACACCTGGTAGTGACACCCTGGAACTCTTTTTCTTTTTACTGACTTCAATAATACCTCTCGGTACAAAAGATATCGAAGGATACAGGACAGTTTCGAGCGGAGGGGAAGCGATAGATGTAGCTATGAGGCGAACTTTAATTAAAGGTGCAACTTGATCGAGGGCTTATAACTGATGCCTATTGTTAATCGCCTGTGCCCTCCCCTCTCTCCACCCGCTACAGAACCTAATTATCAACTCCCACCAACTCCTTGAAGGCTAATAGCACAATATATATTCTCCAATGGTTAGAACAGGGCTAGTTTTGGAAAATTAGATAGGTTGGAAAATATATAACGAGATATAAAAATTGCATGTTCACGATTATATCCCCTCTTAAAAAAATCTGGTTCGCGCATCACACAACTTTCAGTTACCGCTCTACTTTAAATAGAAATTATTTTCTGGCAATTTTGGACTATTGTTAATTTTTTTTAAAGCTAAAGCTTGAACCTTACAACAAAGAAGGCATTTATACCATTAAAATAACATAACATCTATTTATTATATCGAAATCAGGCAATAAAAATCTCGTAACTTCCTCTGTTTTTGTAAACCACATAACTCCAGTTCCTGTAATAACTAGAAAGATTAATGACTAGAAAGATTTGAAATATGGAATGTACTACTATTAGTTATTAAACTCTTTTTTTGTTGTTGTTGTAAAGTTTACTAAAATGGAGTTACGAGCTTGATTTTAGTTTTCAGGCATTATTATTTATATTTTTTTTATCACTCTCCATTACATTCTACTACTTTCTTATCTACTGTTTTTTTCTAAAATTCTTAGCTTTCCAACGATATATTATACCTTTACCTTCTGACTATTATTTCCGGAGATTCATTTTCGATCTAAACAAAAATTTTTTTTTTTCCTTTATTCAATTATCAAAGATTATATTTAGCCTTTTTTTTTTATAACTGCTAAAATAAACCAGATTGAAAGTATGGGTGATAAATATTCAGGATGCAGTCTTTTTTAAATTTTTTATTTTTGCCAACGTTTCAACCTAAACATGTGGGTCATCTTCATGGCGTGGTTTGAGCACTGAGGGTGTTCAAGTACTGACCCAAATAAAAAAATTTAAAAAAGACTGCATCCTGACTTTTATCACCCATGATATGTAGAACAGTTGACTAACTTCCTTCCAGATTGAAAGTACTTTAGGTGAAGAAATTTTAAGCATTGGACATTTAAGACCTGTCATGCGATATTAATGATATTAAAGACCTTTTAATTATACATTGATACATAAAGTCTTTTTAGATTGGGTTGAGGAAGGCGTGAAGGCTAATATGTTACCGTGTACCTTATGCCTGACGGCGGACCAACCCCCATTTTACAAATTAAAAAACTATTCATCTAATTGTAATACTCGTGCTCAAGTTCTGTAACTTTAATTTAGATGTATTCTGTAAATAAACTGAAATTACAGTTAGGAAAAAATTTAATTTCTGTAAAAATCTATATTATACAACGCACCTTTTTACCAAGTTATATTATTATATAAATATAATTATTCTTATTGAAAAATTGTAACCATAATATATATTCAACTGCATATAAACCTAACAATAATTTAAGTATTTTATTTCTAATATTTTCTCTGCTAGTCATATTGTGCTTCCTTTTCTATTTCATAATAATTATAATTATATCACAATATAATTTATATAATATTATATATAATATAATAATTGATATGTTGTATTCAAGTGGAAATGTCTAGACAGAAAAATAGCTGGTTTCACCTATGTAAAATCAAATTACCACTTCCAGGTGAATAAATGCCATTTACCGTGAAATTTTTTAATCTAAAACCTTTATTTTGTGTTAGGAAAGTATTAGGTTACGGGATCTTAAAACATACATAATTAAATGAACAACTGTATAATTATAGAGCTAATAGGAGAGTTCCTGTAACCTCTTACACTCCTAATACTATAATAAAATAAAATATGACATACACTAACAACTTTTTTATATAATAGAGAGATGATATATAATAAATACACTGACCTCTGTTATGGGCTTGGTCGGGTCGGACGTGTCGGGACTTAGCCCTCTCTTGCCCTGGGTCAGAGGGGGTGAGGGACTCTGGCTCTTCACTACGCCGCCTAGCCCTGCAAAAAAAAAAATGTTCATTATAAAAAAATAAATAAATTTTATTATATAATATATTATAATATAATAATATAAACAATAAAGAATCAAATGGTCGGTCCATTGACATTGCCCTGATGTAGATCGGTAAAGTGGGTCGAAACGTAGACAAAAATTAAATTAGATAACTGTTATTTATTGTACCCTCGCTTCATAGACCTTATCCCTATCCAACTTCTCTTCGAAAAGAACTTTTTCGGTTATTTTATTTTAGATCCGAAATTGGGTAATTGTATAAATTTGTATATTTCAGTGAAGATTAGGCTATAATAATAAAAATACAAAAAGTCTCGAATATGTCTGATGCATATCTGATACATAATTAGTGTTAAGGAAAAGTGGTGGGGACGGAGCTACGTCACGAGAGTGGAAACTCGACAGACTTACAGGCTAGCAGCTACCGAGCATTTCATTTGACTGAAGGACTGAGCTAATGACCATTTTAAATTCTAGATAGAACTATAAAGGAAATTATTATAGTTTATTAAATTATAGCTCAATAGAACATTTAATACTTTTTCAATTTAATTTAAGCTTATGTAGAGTCGTAATATGCGAGTACACATAGTGCCGTTGGACAGCTCGGACTTTGAAACGAATTTCAGTTCTTAATTTGTTGCTTATTGTTATGTATGTTAATGTCTATCATATGAACAGAATATTTGGAAGAATCAAATGGAAATTTAATGATCTTTCAAACTGTTCAAAAGCAGATGAAAACGGCTATTTAGAAATAGAAATAGAAATATAAAATAACTTTATTCTGGGACAAAGTCCCTTCAGAATAACAAAATAGAACATAATTAAAATACTACATCTGGCCAAAATAAAACAATAATAAAAAAGAGAAAGTAAAGAAAATATTAGTTAAACAAGCTATATACAAAAATAAAAAAATCTATATACAAAAACACTTAAAACTATGATAAAACACTGAAGACTATGTACAGTAGGAAAAATTATAATTATACTCTTTTGCAAAATAAAATAATAAAAAATACATTGAGTTCTTCTTTAAAATGAGGCGTGTTTCTGCTAACAAAGAAAAGACAAAGCTGACAGTATAAAATATCAGTGTCTTTAAATAATGATTAATAAGTAGACTCATCATTGTCAAATGCTAGCTACAGGTACAGATTTAATTATATACCAATAAAAAATAATAATAAAAAAAAACAAAAAACAATAGATGCGGTCAGTGGCATTAAGAGCAGGTAGATATTGTAATATCCCTAGTGAAGTTCAGAGTATAGAATAGTATAGTGAATAGTGAAATAACCTAACAGTCAACTTGATTTTACTCATAATCCGTTAGACATACATTAAAAAACAATAAATTAATTTTTTAGTAGATTTTATGTTCTTCATCTTGTATAAACTAACAATTTAGCTAAAATGCATAGCTTCGGAATCAAGGCCAAAAATATTGAAAAAAGTTCAGTGAGAACTTCAAATTCAGATTTTTCCACATTCAACTATAGTACGACTGGACTAATATGATGATTTTGAAGCTGTCAGTTTTCAAAACGCAAACATTTCAGTCGTCAATTCTTCCATTTAATTAAACTTCAGATTTCGCTGCTTTAATTAATTAATTATTAATTGGCCTTAACTTTGGTAATTTAATTTGGAACATTGGTCATTTGACTTTTACTTTAATTATTAATTGTCTCTGCTCTAAAAAGAATCGCAGACATTTTTCGAACTTTCACTAGCTCAAAATTTATTTAGTATATCGTAAACATTTTGTTTTTCCAACTAATGCATCAACAACAATCGAGATATATTGGAAAAGACAATATTTGAGAGACCTTGCAATGGCGGTTGTACAATCGGATGAGACGGCATCCAGACTATTAAAAAAAAATAAGAGAAGGTAATCGAGTGATTTTCCTGTGGCAGTGATCTCAATCCACGTTATCTTTTTTTCAGTTGTAATAAAAAGATAACACTCAGACGTTAATGGTAAGATAGGCTTTGGCTCGATCGTGTAGAGTGAGATATCGAGGGGCGAGGGGGGAGGAGTATAACGAACAAAATAATAATTGAAAAAAGTCATGTGTCCATAAATATCCTATTGTCAACTCGCACAATGCAAACAAAACTTTTTGAATGGGTTTTAGTATAAATAAATATTTCAGGTATTGTTATAGATGACAAAAAGGAGGAAGCAAACGACGATAATACTAAATTTTAAATATCAGGTTCATGGCAGATATTTTCCCTGTCCGTTTACAAATTAGATAATAAGGATAATAAACAGATTAATAATGATTGGAATCAATTTCCATTAAAACAATAACCATTTATCATAGCCAGTATTCTGTTTTATCTTCAATTATAATTATTTTTTTATGTTTATTTTTACTAACCAATAAAAAGTATTTTATAATAAATTATACAACAAAAAATGTATTATACATGGGCACATTTTTATAAATACTTCAATTATTTATATCGTTTCTGATTATAGAAGTAATATTCTGAAGATGGCGTATGTTGCTCCAATGAACAATGAATTTTTAATATAAAATATGATAATAAGGATAGATGATATATCATAGAACTTCAAATTAAAAAAAATACTTTATTTAATTTTGATATAGTTGAACAAAGGGATAGAAGAAAAATATTTAAGAGCTATTATTGATATCCTATCTTTTAATCTGAGACACATGTAGTCAAATGTGTAGTCTGTAACGGATACGGGAGGGGGACTTCCCACTGGTACCTTTTGCAAGAAGTGGAAGCCACAACGTACACCCATTCCCAAACTGCAAGAACAGCAAAGAGGTCCTTTTATTACGAAGCATCTACTCTGCTCTAAGGCAAAAATTAAAACAATGGAAGAAATCCACCAAAATGATGAAGAAGAAGAAAAAAACTATTTCATAATTTATGAAACACAAACATCTTATAATTGTGACTCATACGGCAATTAACGTCAGGGATAGAGGCGAAATAAATAAATTATGCTATTTCTTTTTTTTTTTTCTATTGGATCTTAGACCTATTGCCGCCTTATTCAGTCTTAAACATCTTGGGCTATTTCTTTCCAGTTTTCCGCATGCTGCTCTATTGAGTCTTTGTTGATTAGGTCGATCCATTTGGTTGTTAGCCTTCAACTTCTTCTCATATCTATGACTGAGGTATTCATTGTTTTGAAGAACTTCCTGATAGATTCCCTTGAGTTACATGTTGTCCCCATCTTAACCTCCATATTATGAGATATTACTTGACCCGATTACGTAAATAGTTCTTTAATCGATCTGTATCTCAGAACACTTTGGTTATCGTACGGAGGATTTTCCTCTCAAATCATTCAATACTTGGTCTCATGTCTACGATTTATGTATTCATTGTTGTGTAGAGATAGCCTGATGGGTTCCTCTGACCTTCATGCTCCGCCCATCTTAACTTCTTTGTTTCCATATCATGAGATATTGCTTGACCAGTTTATGTAAATAGTTCTTTAAGCGATCTTTATCCCAGACCACTCTGGTTATCGCACGAAAGATTTCCCTCTCAAATCATTCAATACTTGGTCTCATGTCTACGATTTATATATTCATTGTTGTGTAGAGGCATCCTGATGGGTTCCTCTGATCTACATGCTCCGCCCATCTTAACTTCTATGCCTCCATATCATGAGATATTGCTTGACCAGTTCATGTAAACAGTTCATTAAGCAATCTTTATTCCAGATCGCTTCGCTTATTGCCCGGAGGATTTTCCTCTCAAATTTTTCAATACTTCTTTTTAGGGTATTATCATAGCATTGTAAACCATTAATTAAATAAATTACTGCATATTATAACGTAAATGGAATTCACAATAAAAATGACTGTATACTGCGACTTGTTTAGAATTTTAGAGAGCATCAGACGGTGTCTAGACCGGAATAGACTGCTATACCGAAGGGATGTGAAAGCCGGTACGGTAACAACGACTATCGATTCCGGCTAATCTTGGCCAATTAAAACCTGGGTCAGAGCTAAGCTCACTCAAGTCTACAAACATTTTGATGGGATTATTCTCAGTGCTTTAGCTTCACTTTAACTTGTCTTGTTACTATTAACATTAAGTTTGACTTAATAACCAATTAATATAGAACTAACAGCCCTGTTATCCATAAATTAAATCCAAACACCTTTAAGTTTACGCAGTTTAATTATTCAGATAAATATTGAACGTATGGTAGGAGATGAGAAGAAGGTCAGTGATTGTGGTCTTTGTCTGGGTTCCATTTCATAGTGGCATATTGGGCAATGAAAAAGCAGACCAAGCTGCTCATTTGGCGTGGTAGGGAGAGGTATCAAACACAACAGCTACAAATAACATCTCCGTTGAAGATTGGATACACGAGACAAAAGAAAAGATATTTGAAAATTGGGAAGGCCAATGGAAAATAAAACGAACTAAATTATTAGAAATAAAAACTAAGGAGTGTTCTTTAGACCACACGATAGAAGTGAAAACATCAACAAGGCGAGATTAATAATTTGAAACATAATCTCCCATAAAACGCATTATTATTTGGTTTTCGACACTATTTTTTCCTTTTCGCCTCTCGGTGTCAGGCTACGATACAATTTTGAATGCTGAAAAATTCCCTTGCTTACAGTATGCAGGTTCAATTTTTAGTTTCTAAAATATTTTAATCCATACCTTCCATAAAATTCGTTATCGTTTGGTTTTGAACACAATTTTTTCCCTTTTCGCCTCCCTACCACGGCGTCGCATTAAGATACAATTTTGAATTATAGCCTATCACAGAGAGTTTGAAATGCTGAACAATATCCTCGTTAACTGGATGAAGGCCCGAGTTTTAGTTTCTGAAATGTTTTAACCTATAACTAAAAATAATTTCAAATAGTTTACTCTAGGCGACCTTATCCGACCAATAAGTGTTTAACTGTCTGAGGTGTGTTGTCACACTTTTGGCAGATGGGTGCTTCTA